CAGCTGATTGAAAATAAAAAAAAAATTCTCTTGTAATTTGCAGCCCTCTTGAAGAGTGATCTAATAAAATTTTTCAGGAAGGACCTCCGAAAGCTGATGATGGTTGAATAGAGTATCCCAGGTTGAGAGACTGGAAGAGCATGGGGTTTCATTGCTGGCTCCCTCTTCCCCTCTAGGTGGTCACCCTAACTTCACTTCCTTTATCCAGGAAAAAAAAAAGAATACTTTACAGGGATGTTTTATATGAATACAGGTATGTATGTAGAGTATTTATCACAATATCTATTAATATAATAGACACCCAGTGAATGATCATTGTTATTGTAATCGGGTCGCTCTTGATGACTGTCTTTCTGAACCTCAAGGAAAACATCTTTAATGGAGTAATGTAGATGATTTTATGTTAGCTGGGGAGATGTTCAGAGGGATGGTGATGTGTCTAGTGTTTCTTAAATTTGGTGTAGTTAAAATATCTATACTTATGAACAGCTTTTTGTTTCCTAAAAGATAGGATAAAGAACAATGAAAATATAATATTCCAGCATACTTAGGAATACTGATAAGCCAACTTATATGCTTACTTTATAGAGTTTCATAGCAGTTGGATTAAAAGTCTAAATCTAGCTAATGGAATTTGAGGCCTACTAGAATTTAATAAAAATATTATCAGAAATGAAAGCTGAATTAGTTTGCCTAATTGATCTAACTTTATATTAGATTTCTGTACACATTTATGTAATGATTGGTAATAGTTAAAGATTTGTGACATAGTACTTTCAGGAAAATATGGTTAAGAATTGATGAGAAAGAACTTGCAGGCAAATATGTTCCTCAAAATCTCATTTGAATCTCATTCCAGTTGTCTTTGCAATCAGGCAGTTGAATTACTGATTTCTACTGTACCTGGTAAATTTAATGAAAGTATCTATAGTATTCCCTTAATTTGCTTGGATAAACTATTAGTTATTATTTTTTTATTTTGTTTTTATGTGAAATAGATTGTCTCTTAACCTCTTTGACTAATGGGGCCAAAATTGATAAAACATTCTTTGAACTTGAAGATATCTATAGTTTCAAGGGTGCTAGACGATATTGGGCATATCTATACTTAAACACATAAACACAGTGGATGAATTGCTACATAAGAGTATATGTAGCCCTTTTAAAAATGTGTGAGATATAGAACATTAATATATAAAACTCTAGACTATGAGCTTCTTAAGGGCAATGTCTAGAAGAATGCCTAGAATATTGGTGCTCAATATGTATTTTTTAAATAAGTCAATAAATTAGTTTGAATTGAATTAAATGGACTACGTTGGACCTGGTTGGAAAAGTCCATGAATGTCCTGAAAAATGTGAATATTTGAGTCTCTTAGAGGAGTAGCAGAGATTTTACGGCTTAGAAAGGAATGTAGTGAACAGAAAGGCCAACTGCTTCATTTTACACCAGGGAGGCAGAGTAACTAGTTTAAATTAGTGATGGAATCAGGAAATGGGATGCAGGGAAAAATGAGGTTCACATGAAAACATTCCTATACATTGTATCTCTGTCTCAATCAGTAAATGACAAGCAGAATTTATGGGATGGTATTGAGAAAATGACTGCTATGTCAATGACAAGACTTGGTTTCTTCTCAAATTATTTGTGCTTACTTTTGGTTGTCAATTTCTTTCAGACTAACTCCCAAGGACTGTCCAAGGGAAACCTATTGTATTGTATATTGCCTGAAAAACATAATCATGGTTGAGAGTGTTGGAAATGTCTGTCTTTCAAAGGTTTCCATTGTAATGAGGTTTGACAAATATCATGCATATAGTGAAAAGTGAAAATTTAGAAGAAGGTGAACAATGGAAAGTCAGTTTTATACAATTGACAAAACCTGAAGGACAACCACCCACATGGCTTTCATCACTGTCAAACCTCATTTAGTTGAAAAGGAAAGAAAGGGAACAAAACAAAAGAGCACCATGCTTCTGAGGTGGAGAAAGCCTCCACTACAGGAATTTGGGATTTCTAAACTGTGTGTGCCTGAGTTTGTGTGTGACATAGCCTTGAATTGTTGGATACCCAAGTCCTCCATTGTTTAAGGTGTTTGGCTTCATTAACCTTTTCCAAAGCTGTTTGCTTAAGGAGTCTAGGAAGCAGATCACAATAAAGCTGGCCATGTACCAGCTCAAATAACTGGTCAACTTTTTAAGTCCCAAAGGAAATTTAGCCTCAGCTAAACTCTTAGAATTCCTTTGCGTGACCCTCTGAACTGATGCTTCTCACAGGGGTTTTTCCCATCAGTAGCAGTTATGAAGTCTGGAATTTCTGAACTAGTTCCCTTTCCATCAGCTTTGAAGAATACTGGGGAATGAGCCACACTAGAGCTGATGGTTTGTAGAAGTGGTATGACGTCCCAGCCTGAAACTGCATTGTCTTAAAACAAGAGATGAACAATTTAGTCTATTCTTGGTGGTGAGTAGAAAGGAAAGTTACAAAATCCAAGCTCATCAAAAGCATTATCTGTGTTTTGTCAGCATGAGACCAAGTACTAAAGAAGAGGTCTAGCTACAGGTGGAAAATATTAAATTACTATTTTTGTATTTTTCTTCCTAGTGCCCTCAAAAGTTTTGGCAGAGGTATAACTTAGACTATTGCCCTTGCTTAAAAAAAGAAAGAAAGAAAGGGGAAAAAATGATGAATTTACAAGAGAAGATTGAATTCAGAATCTGGACTCATAGAGTCGGGCCTGGCTGAGCAAATGTTAGTTTTGCAGTGAAATAATTTCTATAAGCTGGAACTAAATAGATTTGATGGCTCTTAAGCTAACATCTTTGGTTATCCTTTTTAAAGGATGGTTTGAAACGCCTATTTGTGGAAGAGTTATGAGGTTCACAATAATATTTGAAAACAAATTAGGTATATCAAAAAGAGAAGTTTCATTAGAACATTCCCAGTCTTTTGAAAATTTCAACCTGTACCATCTTCCATTATAGGGGAACACTGAATAAATAAAATGTTTCTCAAGCATGGCTGTTATACCAACTCTGAGGGTTAGTTAGAACTTTTTGCCAAAACATCCATTTACTTTCCTAGCCTGGGGGAACTGAACCAGCAAGGATGTCACTTTTATAAGCACACAGTGACTTTTTAAGTCTACATTCAATGAAAGATTTTAAAAGAAAAAAGAAACTTCCATTCACATAAAACTCTTTCTTGTTAATATCCCATAGTTAAGAGTTGCTTGTAATCTTTGGGGAGGTGAGGAGGGTGGAGAAATCTCTCTGGCATTTAGCTTTAGGTTTGATGAACCACATTAACTCTATACTTTTATCATAATACATTTTCCCTTCCCTGAATTTTTAATGCCTTTGGCCAGTGACGTCTGCTAGGAATTCCCCTGGATATATACAGTAATCAGACAATGTCTAAGTGTTGTGTGTTTCTTATCTGCATCTCATTTGCTTGTACTGACTTAGCTGGTCTATGATCAGAGGAGATCATATTTTTCCAACCACAAAGAATGTGTTTTATTAATTCCTTTTTCAAATTCTTCTCACTCAGTGGACGATTCAGAAGGAAAATGCTCAGATTCAGGTGAAGAGAGTCATACCAAATAGTTGCCAGACCACAAAAACTTCAGCTGCCCAGGCTTAAGGCTGATTTCAGTAACTTAAGAATTTGAGGTTGAAAACACTGTCTGTAGTGAGCTTGTAGAAGTCCTGCAAATGTCACAAGGACAGGGATCATATCTGTCACCCATTCAGTTGAAAAGCCATTTAACAATTTTATGTGCATGACTTTTTCCCATCTCTTTATCATCATTGCTCAGATGGTTAGATGCTTAATGATTTACAGGCTCCAGGATTAGAGTTTCTTTCCCTGGAGACATTGAAGTTCTGCACTGATAATCCTGCTTAGGAAAAGATGGGTTGCTCTGCCTTGTTTTCGTGCTTGGGTCTTTATGCCCTAACTCAGTTGTTCTCAAAGGTGAGTTTGCACCAGAATTGCTAGAGAGCTTGTTAAACTCTGGAGTATTGGGCTCCCCCAACAGAGTTTCTGATTCAGTAGGTCTGGGTGATTCCTGAAAATTTGTGTTTCTAAATAGTTCCCAGGTGTGGACGATGCTGCTGGTCCCAGGACCACACTTTGAGAACTAGCCACGAACCCTCACACCCAGAACATTCCACTTTACTTTTGTTCACAGATAACTTATTTCTGTTTTCTTTTTACTTGTTTCAGGCCATTTCTTTTTCCTCTACTCGTTTTTATACATGATGCTAAATGTGCTAAACATGCTTAAGCCTTATCATCTAAAATGAAACCATTCAAAATATATAGCTTTCATCTCAGATCATTTGCTTGGGCATTGCAGTGATACAGCTAATTACCTAAGAGTGGCTTGACACCTCCAACTATTACACTCAACTTTTAGATCATGTAAACTCAGGCAGACAAAGCTGAATCTAAGGTGGTTACAGAGTTCAGTTCTGGGATGCAAGCTTATTTTGGTTTCCTGATGGAGTTCTTTGCCTCTATGATATCATTTTCTCATCAGCCTCTAGCTATCCGTAGAGGTGTTTCCTGAATACTTGTTCCAGAAAATAGAAGTGTTTGTGTTCTCATATAGGGATGTATTTATTGTTTTTAAATAAGTTATTGCCTAGCTTGTTTGGAAGATCTCAAAGTAGATTATCCAAGTTGGTCATGACCAACGGGCAAAAAGGGTAAATATAACCCATGCTAAGTGTAAAAATAAATGCCAAGGAAGCAGTTTGTCTTGTTAAATTCCACCAAGGGCAGGTGACACAGCAGCTGCAGACCTGTTCCCAGTGGCCTGGGGGGCCAGGCTGGCACTTTGAGAATCCTGGCTCTATCCCTACCTATGGAAAAACCTCCCATGTGATCAGGGAGACAATTATAATGTGACTTGACAAAGTAAAGGAGAGAGGCAGCCTCTTTAGCAATGGTCTGGACTAACTCAATGGATTTTCTTTCCCCTCTTCAGCAGCATTCGGCAGCTTCTTTGGTGACCAGCGACGTCATTTGGCAGCAGGCTAAAGTGCTTGCAATTGCACAGACCAAAGAGCATGCTGAACAGTGATGTTCCAGTTTAAAAGAACAGAGCTGCAAACAAAGGTAGGCTTTTATTTTGGTCAAGATCCTTTTAACTGGGCAAAATCTCATGCCTGACCACATGCCCTTCACCACTGCCATGCTCACAGCCCTGGGCCTATGTCCTCAGTCCCTTGTTCTTGAATCCTGAGTGGGGGAACTTGACGTCAGCATCTTCTCCTGAGTTTCCTATTTCTTTAACTCTCTTCATGTCCCAGTTGCTTCTTTGCTTCTCTTTGGCCCTTTCAGCTCCTATCCTGGCCGCCTTTTAGGGCCTAGGCTTTATTAAGATGATAATTTCTGGCAGGTGATTTGGTTCCTTGAATGTAATTTTCATGTTTTTTTTTTTTTTGATGGGAGAAAACTCTCAGTATTGCAACCTTACACACAGAATGCAGAGGGAGGCCAGCTCTGCCTGCCCACAGATCCACGAGGAAAGCTGCCTGCAAAGTGGGGTGACACTTCACCTGCATTGCACTTGTCACAGTTAATAGTTGTATATGTTTGTGAGATTGCTTCATCAATATCTGTCTTTCTCACTGAACATAAGCCACCGTGAAGACAATGGCTACCTGTTTTGGATTCCTAATGCCTATCAGTGTATACACAATAATACTTGTTGGGGGAAGGAAAGAATATGCATTTCAAGTGTATCAGTTGAATCATGGAAAGTTCTTATCTGGTCTTAACTAAACTTTGGAAATAATACATTGCAGAAAAACTCAGGTTTTATTAATGAGTTTGGTTTTTGTTGATTTAGCTTATTCCGAGATATTCAATCGATGGTATTTGTTGGGTAGAGATAAACAATGTATGATGCAATAAGGAGAAATATTAACTATTATGAATTATACAGACTTTCTATTCTAATAACTTGTTACTGGAATATACAGATCGATAGAGCTTTATGTTAAATTTCTCAAAACTTTGGAAATATGATCTCTATGGGTTTGCTAGGGTTGTCCTAACAAAGTGCCACAGACAGGGTGGCTTCAACAACAGAAAATTATTGTCCCACAGTTCTGGAAGCTGGAAGTCCGAGATCAAAGTGTTGGCAGAGTTGGTTCCTGCAGAGGGTTTTAAGGGAGAAATCCCTTTCATGCCTTTCTCCCAGTTTCTGGTGGTTTCTGGCAAACTTTGGCATTCCTTGGCTTGTAGAAGCATCACTCTGATCTCTGCCTTCACGTTGGCATGACATTCTCCGTATGAGGTTGTGTCTTCTTATAAGAACGCTGGCCATCCTGGGCTGGGGCCAGCCCTGCTCCAGTATGACCTCATTTGAGCTAATTGCATCTGCAACAGCTCCATCCAAATAATGCCATTTCCTGCAGTGCTGGACTTCAACGTATGAATTTTGGGCAAACACAGTCCAATCCATGACATGATGCAGTAAAACACAGTTATTAAAGAAAGACTCGTCTGCTCTGCCAGAATCATTGCACCCGAACCACCTCCCTGCATCCCTGCCACCTCTTTTTAGTGGCAAGGTTTTGACCTTTTGCTGATGGAAGCATCAGGGTCAAGATAATCTGGGCTTGGCAGCTAAGTCGGATTTTACTAGTTGAACCTGTTTCAGAGGGCCGGCAGGCAGGTGGGTTGCCAGCTGGCACTCCTTTCTGCACCATTCCAGTGGCAGTTAGTGACACAATGTGGAGCAGGCATGGCCTGAGACAGTATGAGAAGAATTCTGCTGCCTGCAGAAGGGGCAAAAACCCCTCTCTTCCTCACTGGCACTTGCAAAGAAGTCCCATCTGCTCCTCCAGTGTGTGAAGAAGAACAGCTTCTAGGGCAGTATCTGGTATTGTCTACTCAAACTGTGACATGGGTCGATGAACATCCTAGACCTGTCCTGACTGCCGAGTTCTTATGCAAAGAAAGAACTAGGGTGATGAAATACACGGGAACCATAGGACATAAATATTTTACTTCACCATAGTAAAGGGGGGAAGGTAATGTTTGACTTCTGGCTGAATGTTCATGAGAAAGACCAATATTTAATCTTGTCTCTGGCGTGTTATCAAGAGAACATGTTACATCACTTGCTTGTGGCTTCCAGGTGCTTAAAAAAAGTAACTGGCTGAGACGCAAGGGCTTCCCAAGAGAGGCAGTTGTCCCTGTTGGTGCGGCCTGTGCTCCCAGCCACATCCATCAGCAGGGCAGTCGTTGCCCTTGTCTGGGATCGGGGACAGCGGGAGGGAGCAGCTGCCCACGCTTTGTTCCGCAGTGAGGTCATAGCAGAGGTGCAACTTGAGTGTGGACTTCCCGGTGCATGGGCCAGAGTGCTCTTCCGTGAAAAGTTTTGCTCAGCGAAGCAAGTGAGGAAAGGAAGGTCAGAGACAAAACTAAACAGAAAGCAAAAGATGAAAGTGCTGAGAATAAATGACAAGACTGAGAAGAGATGATAAAATCCGGCCCTATTTCTGGTCCTGATTGCTTTATATGATCCCAAACAGGTTACCATGATGCCATGTGCCTTAGTTTTCTCATGGGGAAATAAAGGTAATAGGAACACACATTTCTAAGGAATTTTTAGGGTAGGATTTCTATAATGCTGTCATTTCAAGTCAATCTAGAATCTGGATCACGTACATCTTTAGTTAATGAGATCTGTCTCCGTACTCTTAATTTTTTAAATATAAACTTTCATCTCATTGGCTTTTGTTCTTTTATGTATATTATTTGAAGTTTCCTTTACTTCCATGGTTTTCAGGTGTCAGTGCCATAAAGTCCACCCTTAAACTATTTCATGCGAAAAGCAAGTATTCAAGATTTGTAACAATTATTTTGCCATATTGCCTGAAGCTAAATATCTTAAAAATGTCAGCCTCAATGGCATAAAACAAAATTGAACCCCCTCCCCCAACAAAAATAATAGCAAAATCAGTGTGTTCTAAAGGGAGACCCTTGTGCTTTAAATAAGAGCCCACCTCCAGTTCTTGAAACTATAATCCCAAGAATGATTAGATATAAATATATAAGCATATGAGAAGAAAAGAGGTTCCTACGAAAGATGGGCTTCAAGTCATATAGTGTAGATTCAAAGCCCTCAGATGACATTTGGAGGTTGCAATGGACTGAAGGTTTGTATCTTCCCAAAATTCATATGTTAAAATCCTATTCTCCAAGGTGACAGTGTAAGAAGGTGGTATTTAGCAGGTGATTAGGTTATGAGGGCAGAGCCCTCATGAATGGGATTAGTGCCCTTATAAAAGAGATCCCAGAGAACTAGTTCGCCCCTTCCATCATATGAGGATACAACATTAAGGCACCTTCTATGAACAGCAAACAGACTCTCACCAGACAGTGCATTTGCCAGTGCCTTGATCTTGGACTTCCAAGTCTCCAGAACTGTGAGAAGTAAATGTACATTGTTTAAACCACCCAGTTTATGGCATTTTGTTATACCAGCCTGAAAAGACTAAGACACAACTTTTTGCAATGCTGTGTTAATTGATTACATTGAGATGGTGGAAGGCCACGTTGGGTAGTGGTTAAAAGGGCAGACTTGATAGAGTCCAGTGGTTGTTTTGATAGAGTCCAGTGGTTGTTTTCAAATACTGGTTCCCCCACTCACATCTGTGTGACTCTGGACACAGAGTAATTTCACACACAGTGATTTCCTTACTCGTAACCTGGTGATGGGTCTCAGTGCACATTTCAATTTTCTTTTGTATGTGAGGATTAAACAAGGTTAATAGAAAGTGCTTAGTAGTAGAGTGGCACATAGTAAATGCTTAATAAATATTAGGTAATAATTATTTTTATACTTGTTATAATGTCCTTCCTCCTGGAGACACTAACTCCATTACGATAATGGATTTAGAATCTAATGACTTTCCATCAGTATGAACATTCTTCTTTTTAATGTATGACTGATCACAAAGATCCAAGAATGCCTGAACCTCGCATTGCCCTATAGATCCAGATCTTAAGAGAAGGAAAATATCCCTGTTGTGGTGCGTGGGTGTGGCGGTACTGCTGTCATTAGGAGCACCCAGTTCACTACAAGTCTGAACAAGGTGTTTCTCGCTCTGGGCAGAAAACACTAAGCAAGGAAGTGTCTGTTTTGTAAGAAGACAATGCAGACTTGTTTTTCAGGGCCTTCCATAATCCCAAACTTCTCAGCTAGAACAGCAACAGCAGCAGGAAGAACTATTGAACATGGCATCTAACTATTGTGAGAAAATTAAAAAAAAACGTGATTTGCACTTTTTTATTTTCAGGGTGAGTACATAGAAACCTGGTGGGGGAAGGACACAGGAAAGACATGAAAACAGATGGGAATGAATATAATACATATAATCTCAGATATATGGAAATTACTTCTTAAAATTTTATTTTATGTTTTTGAGACAGAGTCACACTGTGTCACCCCAGGTAAACTACAGTGGTGTCATCATACTTCACTGCAACCTCACACTCCTGGGTTAAGTGATCCTCCTGCCTCAGCCTCCGGAGTCGCTGGGACTGCAGGTGCACGCCACCACGCCTGGCTAATTTTTTTGTGTTTTGTAGAGACAGCGTCTTGCTCTTGCTCAAGCTGGTCTCATATTCCTGACTTCAAGCGTTCCTCCTGCCTAGGCCTCCCAGAGTGCTAGGATTATGGGCACGAGCCTGGCCTGGAAATGACTTTAAAAGGCTACTCTATTTGAACAAATACCTGGCTTTTCCTTGATGTTGTCCAGTGGTAGGACACTTCATATCTTCTTAAGCATCCTACCTGCTCTATCTAGGGACTAGCTGGATATAGCTTCGTAGAGGACATAGTGAGGACAGAAAATAATCTTCCTTTATTCTAACCCTGATTTGGATCCTGGCTTCATTGCTTAACATTTTTAAACTTTAAATGTAAAATAAGGACAATGCATAAATAGACATAATAATAGTACCAACCTCCTGGGGTTGTTGTAGCGATTAAATGAGATAATTTATATAATTCACACAACACAATGCCTGGCATACAGCTAACACTAATGGAACTAATTGAGCATTCAATTGGTTTTATTAGGATTATTAAGCACGAC